GTAAGTCAAAATGTTATTTATTTTAGTTTTTATTTTTGTTTTTTCATCACAATCCAGATATAAATTATTTTGATTAATGGCAAATTTGCCCAAATGGTCAAGTTTTTGATTGAGTGGATACTTATATAGCAATTTAAATAAAAACTATATTTTATTATTTTGAAGAAATTTTATTTTATTATTTAAAAAACCATTAAAATAGTAAATTATTTTTTAAGTGAGTTACTTTTATAAAAGTGAGTCAAAAAGCGAAGTAGTGAGTCATTATTTGACAAGTGAGTTTTAAAAGTGAGAGGTGAGTTAATAGCCTTCAGTTACTTAACAGGGTATATAATTAACTAATGGCTATTAACTCACCTCTCACTTTTAAAACTCACTTGTCAAATAATGACTCACTACTTCGCTTTTTGACTCACTTTTATAAAAGTAACTCACTTAAAAAATAATTTACTATTTTAATGGTTTTTTAAATAATAAAATAAAATTTCTTCAAAATAATAAAATATAGTTTTTATTTAAATTGCTATATAAGTATCCACTCAATCAAAAACTTGACCATTTGGGCAAATTTGCCATTAATCAAAATAATTTATATCTGGATTGTGATGAAAAAACAAAAATAAAAACTAAAATAAATAACATTTTGACTTACTTAAATTATTTTTGTTATTAAATTAAAGTTTTCATAAATGAAAAAAAATATAAAAAATCGATTAATCGATTTAAAAAAAATACTCTTTGCGTTCAATAATTATATCGTTGTCAACACGAAAGATATCGCCATACAAATTCAACGAAGTGAATGTGTTGTTATACATTTGAATTTATTATATTACAATTTTAAAATTTGTATCATTTTTGTTTTGAACAGTCAATAAAAAATTAAATAAATAATAAATGAGTTATTTAACCAAAGATATTTGAATTAAACGAACAATATTTTAAAGTAAAAACATTGAATAATATAAAACCAAAATGATAAAAATGTTTTTCGTCATCAAGAACAATTACATACGTTTGTCATAACCCAAACAACTGGTTTAATTGTTTATTAATTACAACAATACATACAATAAAAATACGAATAACAAAGACACATTATCAATAAAGTACACTTTAACTACAAACACAACTTAATATATAAAAATTTAATCATGTAAAATGTTATGATGTCGGAATAATAACTTATTAGAGTATATGATGAACACGACATTAAACAGCTGAGTAATGTTTATAACCAAAATATCATGTAAATTTTAACAACAACACAAACAATGAAAATAATTAATTAGGTTGTATTGATTAATTTCTATGATGAAATTATTTTAATTACGTTAATTATTAAAAATGTGATTTAAAAAATGAAGTCGATTAACATATGTATAGTTTTACACATTTAAAGTTGTCTCTAAGTTGTATACCTTTTAATTAATTGGAAAAAACAAAGTTGGTGCATTACAAAACCTTTAAATGTGTAAATAAAAATAAACATTTGTGTTAATTTTTTTTATTGATATTTTTTTGATAAAATATTAAGAGATAGATAATTTAATTCTGATTGGAGCTTATGTTTAATAATTGTGACATTTTGTTTGTTCAATGAAAAATCTTTAAGAATTTGTCATAGTATACTACTTTTTTTTTAATTATGTCATTGCATCGTTATTCACAAATATAATACAGCAACTTATGTTAACAATTATAGACAAGTGTTATTTATTGTTTTATTTTTACTTAATTATCATAATATTTTTTTCATCTCACAACACACAAAATGAAACCATTGTATTTCTTTAACATCACAACAATTATCAAAGTAAAATAAAAACAAATTTAATTATTACTTGTTGACGATTTTATAAAAAAGATTCATAAAAAATTACTGTTTACTTTCACACTTTTATGAAAAATATAATACAATTTAAATAAAACATTAAAACTTTTAAACATGTAACTTCATACTAACAACGAAAATGATTCCACTAAATTAAATAATATGTATCTGTTTGGGCATAATAGTATTTTGGATAAAAATATAAACACATATATATATTAAATATATTAAATTTGTTGCCCAATAGTTTATAACAAAATTGTACAACAACTCAAAATGATTTAATTTGAATTGATAAATGTAAATTTTGTCAAATTTTTAATATTGTTGTTTTGGATACTATTTGTACCAAATAAATTTTTTCTTTACCATTTATTTTATTTTCTATTTTTCGAGTATTATAAATATAGTTAATTATGGTTTATTTTTTAAATAAATTTTACAAACTTTATATAGTTGTTGAACTATGGATATACTAAACATAGTTTTTTTTGATGAGTATAGTTTTTTTATAGTAAAACGACGAATATTTAATTTTAAATAGTTAAAGTGAGTTACTTTATGCCAAGGTGAGTTAATAGCCATAACTATAAGATATTTAAGTTACTTTTCAACTCTGAGTTATTTTATACTTATTAGTTTTAATAAACTACTATCTATCATATTATTTTAAATTTATATTTTTTGGAAAAAAATGTATTATAATATAAGTTAAAAGATAACTAAATAATAATACAGTAAATTAATACCACAACATTGAATTACAAGAAGTGATGAATTTATGCTATTTAAACTGTAAAACAAAACATTGAATACCTCGAATGAGTGTCTCATTAGACCGCTATTCAATGATGATAGTATCAAAGTACTTTGATAGTATCAATGACTTTTTGACACTCATTAAAGTATGTAAAAAATACTTAGAAATTCCATCCATGTTCCATTACAACCCAGTATCAATTAATAATGATAACAAAAAATTGTTTCCTAATGTGGAGACTCTGCATCTCTACGTTAATGGTGACTGGTTTCATGATGGATATTTTCAATATTCAGTTGACTATCCCTGTCCCATAAAAACAATAATAAAGATAAGAAAAAATAAGCGAGTGATGTGTAAAGCAATCACGTATTCATCTGATGACATCTATCATAATATACCTTACACCGAAGCAACTTATTTCATCCATGACACTTTTGCTGGTCGATACAGAGCTATTGCTGAAATGGATTGCTCAAAAGTTATATATTTTGGTTCATCTTGCTTTTTGCATAATCATATATTATCAAGAATCACATTATCTTCCAATTTACATGAAATACCAAAAAACTGCTTTTATGAATGTACATCCCTTCAAAGTCTTAATTTGGAACATGTCCACTCTTTTGGGTATAAATGTTTTGAGAATTGTAAGAGCCTTTCTGCATTAACACTGAGCGACTACATTACACAAGTCGAAGAAGGCACATTTGAAAATCTATTTGCAATCAAAAGTGTATGTGCAAACAAATTAAAAGAACTTCCATGTTACATCAACGCTTCATATACAAAAGCTTTTGAAGGAATTAAACACAAAATTGTCACGAGTGATACGGATGTTCGTAATGGTATTTCACTGACATTTTTAACAAATAGAATTGACCATGGGGCGTTTAGTAGAATTTCAGGTCTTTCGAATGTCGACATCCCCACTACAGTGACGTACATTGGTAGTGCATTTTATGATAGTGACTTAAAACGATTGGATTTATCATTTGTTGAACAGTTTAGAATGGGCTCTATTCCAAAAATCACTGCAATTACTACAAACTCGAAAATAGACATATATTGTCTTCATGACTGTGAGACACTTAAGAAAATAGATTCATATGGTTCAAATTACATCAATGGAAATGTGGCATGTTGGATGAAAAGTCTTTTGGAGGGTAAAAACATTCAAGTGAAAAATTATTGTTACTCAAGAAAAGATTACAAAATCTTTGATGGGATCATTCCAGAATATGCAAATTCAATTGACTCTTGTATTGTGTTTGGTGACAGTAATCATTGCAGTATCATCTTTCCACAAAATTTGAACTTTATACCACATCCATATTTCTTTAACAATAATATCAAGAAAATTATACTGCCAAAGTTGTTTATACCAAGAGACCGGTTTTCTTTTGAACAAATGGAAGCAATCAATTTGGAAGAAATCGCACTTAACCCTGCGGGGTATTTCTATTTCAAAAATAACGTGTCACTCACTTCAGTAACTTTTCTCGATAAAACAATTCATCAACATCTGATGTTCAAACAGTGCAGTAAACTCGTTACCATCACCGTTGAAAATACACCAGAAAATTACACATTTAATGATACTATGGAAATATCCGTTTTTAAATACCTCAAAGATCAATACAAATGCAGCGGAGATGTCATTTTAGAACAGGAGGAGCCTCTTGTTGATGGAGTTCTTCATGTTCTAGAAGGAGTCACCTTAATTAAAAGTCATTGTTATCTCAATGATATGGACTTAAAAGAAATATGGATGAGTACCACTGTTCAAAGAGTTGAGAATCAAGCATTTCTGAATTGTTCAAATTTGAAATTGGTCAAACTTCAACCTCGAAAAGTAAAGATACACAAAAAGGCGTTCAAACAGGCGAATAAAGACATTGCTTTTGTTGTGATTCAAAATAATTGATTCTTTATAATTTTAGACCATCAATTTGATTACTTTAAAATTTAATTATAATTCTTATTACTTCAACTATTCGATTTTTTATTTGTAGAGTTTTCTATGAAAAAAACTTTTTAAATATAACAAAGTCAATGAAAACAATGGAGAAGATACTATTAAAAGACGGAACAAATATTCAGTTTTTAATAACACATAATCCAGAAAACAATATCAACTGGGAGTCTTACCATATTAAAGATCATCACACACCGGATTTCATACGATATATCATCAGAAATGGCTCGAGATTACTTTTTGAAAACACTTATAGACCAATCAACAACTCAAAATGTGTGAATTTTTTAACCACTCAAACTTCGTGTGACTCTCCATCTGACATGCAAATTATTGAATTCCTCAATAGTAAATACAATTTTTATAATTTAGAGATCGACAAAATCAACACAATACGATTTGGTGCAATTTATGCAAATCCAGACGAATGCAACTCATCACAGTGGATGACCATTCTCGACGTTTCAAACTCGTTCATTGAAAGAATGAACAACGACAAAAACTATGTGGTAATTGACACCAAATACAAAGACAAAATGTCTAAGTTACAAGACACGATGCTCTTTGACGAAGAGGTGTTCACGTTTCTCTTCGCTTCGGAGTATCTTCCGCCACTCGCTACGAACGGACAACCCAATACACTCTAATTCATTTATACTTCGTACTTCCTTTTAAGCACTTCCGACCGCTTCTTGATCTCTTCGATCTTATGTAATGTATCTTTAATTGTTTCACAGAGTTTCGCAAAGTCCTCATCGGGGTATATCAGCAATGTGGTGTCTATACATTAAATCACTCTTTCCATTTCAACGTAACAAACTAAGAGTTGTGTCTTTGTCGAAGTAAAGTCCGAGTTTAGACAAGTCGGTACGCTCCATGAGGAGTTGGAACCGTGAATAAACTCCAGGAGCTAGACTATCAAGTATCGCGTTGCTTCCGACGTGGTCTTCTTGGACTTCTTTCTTTGTCAACAGCGTCTGCGACAAGAACAATTTTGCTTGAGGGAGGCTAACGACATTTTCGATGAGTTGTTGCATCCCATCTTCCTTTCGTTGTTCTTCAAATCCTTAGTGTTATTGATTGGAACACTTTAATAAACTACATGGTGATACAAACTTCTATCGAATGGGAAAAAGTCGTAGGGGTGGATAAAAGAGTTAGCAGGGTATTTCTCCGTAAATCTGTTTTGCGAGAGTTTCATTGCGATTTGGAGATACCTCTCAATAACAGCGTCTACCGATAATCTGAATTCGTTGTATACCACAAGTCGATCGTGAACAACTTCCCAACACATTCCGTATTGTTTGACATATTCCATCATTGAGTCTGTTGTCGCGCGGGTCCATTCTTTGTGTTGTAAATATTTGTCGTACTCCTCAGTCGTGTACATTTCAATAGTATTGATCTCGAGGTAGTGGTGTTGGGTTTCATTCTGCTTTGAAGACAAGCCAATACCACTCGGTAGTGTTGTGTTGAATGAGGGGAGCGTTGGCTTACCTATTGACATACATTTTCAAGTTGTTTTATTTCTAGTTAATACTATTGTATTAAAATATTATTAAGTTGTTATTTATTATAACTTTTTTATAATTAAAATTACTATATTTTATAATATAATTATGGTTTTATATATAGTTTTGTTTTATTTATCTTTTCACATTTATAACAGGGTTAATAAATAATATTTATTTTTCCAAAAAACACATAAAAAAATGGAAAATAATATTATAAAAAATTTGTTAAAAAATATAATTTTTATCATAATTTTTAAATAATTAAACAATAATAGTATTATTAAACAATAAAACAATTGAAAAATAAAGACTTTCTATTATTTTTGAAAAATTTAAATTAATTTAATACTTATAATAGTTTAAGTTTCTTTTGAAAAAACAGCATAAATAAATTTTACTAAAAATTTAGTTTTTTTCAATTTGAGTTTATTATTTGGTTCTTTCATTTGTATTACAAATTGTAAACGAATAACTTAGTTAAGCCACAAAGTGATATAAAAAATTATGCAATAATTCAATTTTTAAATCAATTATTGTTGATTCTCCCAAAAATTAATCAATAATTGATACCTATAAAGAACACAAAAATCTTCTAACAACAAATAATCACAAAAACAAACGAAACTATAGTAATGGTTATATTTGTAATAATATTAACTATAATGAAAATGATGGAATCAAGCGACTTATAAACTCGGAATTTCAGATTGGATTGAATGGATGACACTTACACTCCGCAGAAAAAAAGTCGGTTGTTGGACAACATGTCGCCACAAACTCCAAGCAGATCGATAGAACGACGTCCACTTAATTTGTTATACCGGTCTAAAACATTCAACCCACACACAACGGGAGTCATGTCGACAGACAGACGCGACGGAGTGAAGCTAATCGAATATGTCGAGGCTGCTACTGTCCCACCTGTGAATGGAACTTTAACAGTAGAAGTTGTCTTCACACACGTGTACATTGCGTTTTGTCAAGAAGTGGTTAGTACACTTGGCTCGCCGATGAAGGTTCATGACACTGTCGCATTCAAATTTTGTGTTGAAGATACGCCTTCCTTTTCAATGAAAAATTACGAGATTACATTCCACCCCGGGAGAGAATTGACTTCGAGGATCTACCCGATCATGTTCAACAAAGATTCATTGACAAAGTTCGTGGACATTTTAACAAAAATGAATATAACAATGGAGAACGGACTTGTGAGATATGAGAAGAAGAGGATGCCAGTCGTATTTGACATAACGAAGTATATGGGGCAACTCAAGTTCGATAATCAACTCATCAAACGCAATAACTGGATCAAACAAATCAAAGCAGATTACACCGAAACCGTCACAAGAAACACAACGTGGAACATCATGTCGGATCGTCGTGTGAGAAAAGGGTTGTTTTATCGGGGCGTCGACGACGATTTCAGAGGAGAAGCGTGGACCAAGTGTCTTGGCGTCGATATAACAAAGGACGACTATGAAAAAATAACACAGCAAATACCGTTGTTACTACCTGGGCAAATTACAAACAACAAAAAATTGGCAGTTGCGTTTAAACAACTTGGGAAGGATATTACACGAACATACATATCGACGTATTGCTCGGAACGGTGGGGTGGTGATACTAAAGAGATCAAAAAGGTGATTGAGAGGCTGATGAAATGTTGGATTCTATACAACCAAGACGGTGGGTATCAACAAGGGATGAGCGACTTGTTGGTTGGCATCATGGAGTATTCAAAAGAGGAACACGTCGTCTTTGGACTCTTTGTGAAGATCATAGAAATGATGTCGACAGTCTTTTTCGATGCGGAGCATTTCGACAGATACATCTACCCGATTATCAAATCACTCGACAAGGAATTGTATGGATATTTCAAAATGTTGCAAATTGGGTATTCGTTCATGTCTAAGTGGGTGGTCGTGTTATTCAGAAGAGATTTTTCACACGACAAGTGTGCCCGGATATGGGACGCCATATTCGCGTTCCCAGAAAATAAGTTACACTACTTCATTGCGGCTTGTATGTTGGAACAACACCGAGACGTCATTTTGTCGACTCGATTCGACCTTGATGATATATCAATTTTCTTCCAGAGTCTCGAGGGTAAATTTGATGATAATGTGTTCATCGATGCGGATATTGCTTCAAGTAATTTCCGAATGGACGCGAGTGATAACGACCAGATCCTTGTCTTTTCTTGATATTGATTGTTGTGGAACAAATATTCGGTGTTGTTATTAATTTACTATTTACTTTCTATGATTTAATAGTTGTAAGTCACATCTCAAGTTTGTTTAATTTGTAAATAGAAGTTAGTAATTTCTAATTAAATAAAATTATTATTTTCAGAATCTAATAATTATACTATAAATATAATATTTAATACTATATAATATAACTTCCAAAATATGTCAACAAACACGGATAAATGTAGTCAACTGATTCCCACAACATCGGGACATTAAAATGAAAAACGAGTAACAAAAGACTTAAAAAATTATTATTATTATTAACAAAGTCAGTTGATGCAACTTCGAGGTAATTAAAATACCAGTCAAATATGATTCAAAAACAATAAAAAAGTGAAGTCTTTCAGTGAGATAATAGAAACACTCAGTTATTCAGTCCACTTTCCCCAGACTTGAAATTTTCCGACAATACTTCTTCTGCGTAATCCTGTGATGAGTCGACCTGTGAGAAAGTAGGTGGGTGTTGGCTTTGTGGTGGGACAAATTCGCTTGTACTTTCGTCGTCGCTGTAAGTCGAGGAGTCGTCGTCTGTCTCGTCTTTTTCGTTCTTAGCGAGGGTTAACGCGTCCTTCACATTGCCATTAGTTTTTTGAAGGTAATTTTTGGCTTTATGGAACTTGATTCCTTTGTTAAGCATTTGGATCAGCTTGTCCGCCTCTTTTGTGATATCATTTTTGATCAAATACACAACGATAGAACCGCCCTTTATGTCCATTTCCTTAAACGTCTTCTCCTCGTTGAGTTCCGTCTCGTTGTAAAACAACACTATGTTTGACATATCCGTCATCCCCTTCGGCGCAATTTGCTTCTTAATTGTTTTGATTTTGTCGTTCACCTCAAAGTCGATTAACACGGGCGAGTGTCGGTTGTTTTTGAGTGTCAGCAATGGCATGGAAGTATCTTTGTTTCCTTTTAAAGTTCAAGTTCTTGACAAATTATAAGCACTGAGGAAACCCATATTGAATTAGTTTTTTTACTATTATAAAACAGACTCTCCTCTTGTGAGTATCAAACTGGAATCATTAAATCAGTTGTTGTTTAAATGCATACACATTCTTCTGTTTCATGTAATTGCACTCTTCAAGAATAGCATCTTTGTTCGTGTTCATGATCAACCCGTCACATACAATCGTATCGATCACCCATAATGCGTCATCAATCCTGGAAATAATCTATTGGTTATTCTATGGTAAACCATATAATGTGGGGGATTCAAGAGGAGGGTACAACAACAAACATCAATTTCACAAGCATTGTCAAATAACACATCATATATCTGGATCAGAAAATGAATAAACTCGTATAAGGCTAATTCATTTTCGTCCTCATCAAAGCCAATTATTACAAAGATCGACGCAAATCGACGCATCACAAATCGATGATCGCGACATTCATGAACGACATTCTATTTGTCAGCTCAATAGTAAGAGATCAAAAAATACAAACAGTTTGCTCAGCGGCGGTGATGCACTTCCGATATATTTCATTGGAGAGATTGGTCTTGTCTTTTTGGAGTTCGTTGTCGTAAAATCGAGAAAGCCTGACTTGGCCTGTCCTGTTGATAATCAGGATGTACTTCAGCATCTGCTTTTTAAGTTCCAAAACTGCAAAAAATCAATTATTCTGTGGGAACTGCGACACAAGTGCGGGTGCAAAAAGAATCAACTTTCGGATCAGCAGCGCAACAATCCCAATGAACATAAAGAGGCAACACAAAAATCCCTCCGCAAACTCGGAATGTAATAATGAATACCCGGAGAAATGCGCAAACGTTCCAATAAAGAAGATTAGCATAAAGCCAATTCCAACATTAAAGAGCTTTTTCGATATTGGTCCTTCTTCAGTTGTTGGAGTGTTAAGTGATTCTGTTGGAGCTTGTTCAATGTGGTCAGCCTCAGGCTTCACTTCTTCAATCGGTTTCTCTTTGATTTCAGAGCATTCACCTGTGATAAATCCCATGCGGTTTGAGTCGTTTGCTAATATGCGTTGTTTTCTCCTCTCTGCTGCGCTCAGCTTTTTGGCCTCTGGTTGGATGGGTTGACCCTCTCCATTTTCCTTTGTCAATTGTTCCATTCCGCTTTTTCTGATCTTTTCATCTCATTTTTTTCAATTTGCTTTTAATATATAATAAATATAGTTACTTTAGTTATACAATTTGGTATATGAATAATCATAAAAAAGTTATCAAAAAATTAGTAATTATAATTAATCAATAGTATTAGTATAACAAAAACGCAAAAAAGTTCAGTTATTGATGATTTTAGCGTATAACAAAAACACGACGATGATCGAACTCGCTAAACATGCAACGATGATGTTTTTGTTTTGTTCCGCAGCGGGGTTTACCGTGTAATAAACTTCCAAGTTATCTGCAAAGTTTTTGAAGTCGACGCCGTCCATCTCCATCTTCACTACAGTCTTCTTGAAAATTGTTGCAAAAGCGCTTTGTTGTTCCACAGTATTATTTTCAAATGTTCTTTTAATAAATGAGATGGTATTTACGTTGCTTCCTTCCGGCAACACAACCTCGAACACTCCTTTTTTGACGATTCCTTCAATCTCAATCTTCATTGGCGTCAACAGTCTCATTTTCTCTCCTGACGTAGCGATGATGTTTTTGAGAGGAAAGTGATAATTAACTTCAAAAGAAGTTTTCCATCCGCCAAGGAGAGGATATCGTGTTGGCAGAATGAGCGTATGGCCATACATTTCCGAAGTTGTAATAAGACCTGTTGTATCTCGGTACTCCAAATCAGACGCATCTTTCTCAACTGGGATCTGGATATTATAGAACGTCATCTCGTTAGGTATAGCGTTCCTATCGAACTCTCCCTTGAGTTTTGCGCCGGTGTTCTTGAAGTCCTCGATTTCCATATGGACGTGCACATTCTCCTTCTCGATTGTCATCACCTTCTTGACTGAACCGATGACGATAGGTGTCAATTGTGTCTTATAGTGGAAGACGAGATACGTGAAACCGGTGCTTTCGATTGGTCCATACTTAAACCTCTGAGAGCCTTCTGAGACTGGGGATGGGAACAATGAAATTTTGTAGATGTTGTTCTTGTTAATGAATGAGGTGCACTTCATGTTGGTGGCGAGGGGACACATGTGTGTAGTGAAGAGTAACTTGTAGTCGTCGTTTAATGTCTTTTCAGAGGGGTAATTGGTCACCCCAGTGATGTGGAAGTATTCACAGTTGAATGTGTTACGGTTGGAGTCTTGAAGGGATACAGTAACCGTCACCACTGAATCAGTAACAACAGACTTAATGATCTCTTTGTCATGTTGGACACAGGTCAGTTGGGAGATCTGGGTCGACTCATTGAGTGGGAGGGAAAATGAAAAGTCGGTGGGGCCGTCCGTCTCGACGTTGAACCGCATCGTGCGAATTGGGAGCGGGTTGAAGTGAAGATTCACCTCGACGTTGCTGGCAACTATGCGTGACGTGGCAGTGAAAATGAGAAACGAGAGAAGGATGGCACAAAATTTCATCGTTTACATTTTCAGTTCCACCTTCTTTGGACTAGTACTATTGAGGTACTATACTTTAATATAATGACCTATCCATTTTTTTGTATTTTGGAATCTCTTATATCAATTCACACTACACAATATACAACTTCTAAATGAAAAGCGAATTCTTCTTCTTTTTCAAGCAGTGATTATCGTCATTTAACTCTTTCAAGTCTCCAAAATCACAGTTCTTAAGAAATCAATGGTATTAACTTTTATAAGAGCATTTTTAATTATAAATATAATATCGATTGTAATGTGAAATGGAGTACCACTTGTGATATTTGTTTCTTATGTTTTGTGCCTTATTTCATTTATCAACAGCTTGTTAATGTTGTCTTTAAGTTGTTTATTGGAGAAATACGACAACAATCACTTTTTGAATAAATGTTATTATTAAACTGTTATGGTTTTTTATAGCTTTATTATTATTTCATTTTAATATAATAAAATTAATTTAAATATAGTTTTTTTATTAACTTAATATCCAAATTATATTAAAACAATAATTAATAATAAAGTTATAATAGGGTAAAAACTAATGGGGCTTTGTAAACTGTATTATTATTTATAATAATTTAACCATATTTGTATGTATTTTGAAATTGTGTGGAATCCAGAATGTTAGAAACATATTTAGTTAAATATAATATATGTTTAAAAAACCTCTTTTCTTTTCTGCTTTTCTAAACAATGTTGAGGTCGACTTTGTTTTAGTGTAAAACAATAATGAAAATTTAACATTTTTATTACAGATTATTAATAAAACTAATTAATTGGTTAACTAAAGGCATCATTGCATTGTTTATTTTTTTTTTTTCATCGAACTTAAGGGATTGTCAAAAATAGCATTTACAGAACACACGACAAAAATCTTTATTTTTCTGACACACAAAAATAGAATCTAATATCATTTATAAACTATAATTTATAGTAAAAAATAAACATGTTTTTTTTTCTTCTTGTTATACCGCAAAAAGAAAATTTTGTAATACGATAGTTTTACAAAAATATTTGTTGGTAAAAACAACCATTAAATGTAATAAAAGTAACCATTGAAAAGAAAAAAAAATATGTCACATATAGAATGTCTGAAATTGCCGAATAACCAAAAATCTCAGCCAAAAAGAGACAGCTTGCTGGATTGAGAAGTGCGGAACAACGACAACACACCATATTGTTATAAGAGGAAGGGTGTATAAAAGGGCATAATCTAGACTAAAAATATATATAATGGAAAAGGGGGTTGAAGCATTCAAACGCTTATCAAAAAACAAAGCACTTTATCGGTTACTTTATGACGTCTGCGTTGTGACGTTTATTACTGTTGTGACGTCAGAACACATGATCACACACTCTTACTCATTTGGGAGAATGTGCAGATTCTGGACGATGTGGAGTTGTTGGTCGTGCCTTCTTTATTTCTTTGTTGCGTTCTGTAAACAGGTTGCTTTGTTGTTGTTCCCAGTAGTTAAGAAAACACCACGTTCGATGGTCATGAGCGTTTTGGTCGACGCAGTCCAACAAACGGCTGTTGTGCTCTGTTTGTGCGTCACTGGAATGTTTTGGTATTTGTATTTCAAGTCACCGTCTGCCGTCTTTAGAGTCGACGACGGATGGCAGCCAAGTCTGATGGAAGAATTATTCGTCACACACTTTGAGCACTCGTTCCCACTTCTCTTTTTGTTGGTCGACTGCTTTGTATTCGCGCAGGGGAATAAGAGAGTTGTGTTGCACTACAAAGCATCAAAGTACATTCCACTCTGTGCGTTTTGCTCTTATTCTGCTTTAGCTCTTCATGATTTCTTCAGATATCAAATCAGACCATACCCATTTATGGACAAATGGAATTTGACACCCATTCTGCTGATGCTCATTGCTGTAGCATCACTCATCCAATTTGTTTTGAATCCCGTTGCGTATTACATTAGAAAAAGCCTCTTTTAGTAAATTACTGTTTCTTGTGTATTATATGGGTTATTTATTATAAATTGAGATATTAATTATAAAAAAGGAATTATTTAATATATTATAATATATTATAATTATATAATTTACAACAACAATTTTTACTAATAAATTTTTACTATAATTAATTAAGAAATACAATAAATTATAGTAAAATAACAATAAAAAATATCAACAGATATTTTTCAGTTTAGTTAAACAGAAACTAATAAGAACTAACAAAACACACCTAGGTAAGTCTTGTCCCCTTCCACATTATACTGAACTATTTCCAAGTATTTTCAAAATATAATAACACTAAAACGGTTTTATGAGCTTGAACGAACAATAAGTTAACGATTAAACAAAAAGAAATAAATCAAAGACACACAATTATTCGTCATCTTCTTCACCTTCTTCCTCTTCAGCACTCCCATCCTTTTTCTCTTCATATTTCTTCATTTCAGTCTTCCAAGTTTCTTTGGCTTTATCAGCCTTGTCTTGATATGGCTTTTTGTCTTCTTCGCCCATGGCTTTCCAGTTTTCGCCAGCCTTCTTGGCTACTTCTGTAACTTTCATGTCTGGGAACTTCTCTTTAATCTCGGCTCTATGCTCATTAAGATAGAGCATATAGGCGGTCTGTGGTTTCTTGGGCTTGTTTGGGTCTTTCGTCTTTTTCTCCTTCTTTGGTTTTTTCTCGACTTTTGCTTTGTTCGTCTTGGCGGGCTTTCCAGCTGTCTTTGGCATTTCCTTTGTTTTTTGATCAGCGTACCCTTTATATCCCCCTCTCTTTTTTCTTCCATAAAAACCTTGGACCATTTCGCTTCTCCAAGTTTTTGTCTTTTGAACGCTTTTTCTCTTTTCACTCATTAGGACACTTTCCCTCTTTTTATCTTTCAGAAATGCTATTTCCTCTCCTATTGCTGGCTGTGTATTTTGGTTTTTTCTCATTTTCTGTTCTTCATGAAAAAAACACAGGGTTACCATGCAGTTTGTTTTGACATGACTGAAAAAAGGTTTGCAGAAAACTAGAAAATTGCAGTGGAAAATAAAAAATACAGACAATATCGGCAAGCTTTTACCAAAAAGATATGTGGAAAACAAGGGACTCTCTCTTTTCTTGTCATTTTTGTGATCAGGAATGATGGAGCAAGATCATTCGAAAAGTTTTCTCATTAAAAAACAGTTCTGATATTCAAGTTCATTTTCAATGGAGATCAAATAATTAAATAATAATATATATACTATTTGTATATGGTTTGAAAGTTGGATGTTCCCATTAATGTGCTTTTTTTAATGCATTTTTCACAAACTCTCGTCATTTTTACATGCTTGAATTCTCAAAAATGTGTCCCTGTACTAGACTTCTCTTCCAAAGAAAAAAATAAGAGGGGAATTAACTTATAAAAGAAAAGAAACTAAAAAATTTGGTTTTGAACTGCGGACAAGGCAAAAACGATAATCACAATTCTCAAAGGAAAAAATGGGTCGTCTAAAACAACTCTCTTTCTACCAATTTCCAGAATTTTTATTAGGTAAGTTTATTATACCGTCTGGTTTAATGTCAAAGCTATTTGCAAAACTCAACGTTTCACTAACGTCTTCCCATTTTTTCAGTCTTAACAGCCCCACAGAGAATAAACATCTTCCTGTTCTTGGTTTGATTCAACGTGATCGTACCAAACATTTTTGAAAAATCATAATAACACTCGGTTCAACATTTTTATACTTCTTAACAAATAACATTTTAAATAACACTTTTTTAAATTCAAAAATTCAAATATCATATCTCAGCTGCACATAACTAAGTCGCACGTGGAGCACCATGAAACCCGTTTAGCACTTCATGGAAGTAAAGTCCCCTTTTAAGAAAAAAATGACAAAAATTTTGTGAAGAGTTGTACGAAGTGAACCTTTTTCCAGTAACACAAGAAACACTTTTCTCCTGTACAATCCTAAGTTTGCAATATTGAGTTTTGCGCTACCTTTGAAAAGACTTGGTTCTACTTGATCAGAGCAATTAAGTAAATATTTATTATAAATTATAGCATTCAATTCTTCCAAATATAGATAGAACACAACTCTTTTACCATACTAAAACTATATAATAATTATAGCAAAACTATACCATATAGTATATTTAATGTAAAAATACGACGTGGTATTGGCAAACCCTTTTATTTGCACGAATTTGAAACACTTAAAGAAATAGATGGAGAGCCGCAAACATGGCCTTGAAGGCGACATTTTGGTCCCCGAATTAAAGAAACGAGTGATTGACATGACCTGCGAACCTCCAGAAACCAAGGAGAAATATAAACCCTGTGTAATTGAAATGGGTGCCCTTCCAAGGTCATCGGATCTTTTAGCTTCGCGCTTCCTGATCAACGACAGTAAGATTGCCGGGAAGTGTGGAGACACATTAGTCTTCAAACAAATATCTGACGTAGTCGACTACATGAATTATGCTATTGGCATTCGAAAGAAGGGAACTACTGATTTGACGATATTGCCGGTGGAGCACTACACTTTAAAACAACAAATTAAATCGGACGAACCGGAAGAATTTGCGGACCAAGGGTCTTTCGCCGCTAAGAAATTGGAATTGAATATCAACTTTGGGACATCACGTCCTCGCATCAATACGATGTTAAGGAATATGATGAACAAGGCTGTTGGTACACATGATATAGTCAGAGAGGATGTCACCTTACCAGAATCCGGTCGACTTGTATTAAACCCTATCGACTACCCAGACCTTCCTTTCTTCAATCCATCAACTACAGTAGTAGAAGAGGTATATCCCATCGATCATATATTCTCTGCTGATGAATTGGAATACTTCAATGCTTACTCGAAGGAGGCGAGAAATAAGTTGAAAGGAAGTGATATGGTCGTTGCTTCAGAAACCCTTGAGAAGATCAAGAAGACTAAATTTGGGAATTACTATGGACCTTTACTCACTTCAATGGATAAGAAAAGACTCCCAAAAGTACTCGGCTTGTTGGAAGCTTATAGAATACTTTATTTACTCGCAACACGCGCTAAAACACTTAGGTTCAATAAGAACTACGTAAATTTGGCAAGTGCAGAGGATCTCAGCCAAGACATTCTCGTCTCTTTGGCAGACAAATATTACGAGAAGGTCCTCGACGAGAAGACTGACCAAGTAACTTACGACCTCACTAATCTCCTCAAGACTAAATTGGTCAACACTGCTATCGTCCTCGCTTTAAACGTCACAGGATTCACTCTCTCGTCTGAAATGGCAAAACTTATCGCAGTCGATTTCCAAGTCTCAAACATGGCCATAATCTCTCACTTGTCACGTGTCGGCTGTAAAGGTTCTTTCATAACCCAAGATGGAAAGAAAGATAACACTTTCGTTCTTAATGCCCCATTGAACATCCCATCCCTCACTAAGAAAAACAAGAAGAAATAATAATTACAATTTTGGATTGGTTATTCATTATTATATATTTATAATAATTTTATAATAATTTTATTACTATAATTAATTTAATTTTAATAATTGATAAATACTAACTATTTATTAATTATTACTTAATAAATACTTTAAAATAAACATTATATTAAATTTTAACTATTAAAAAATGGTTGAGATATATTTGAAACTATTTCAATTAAATTGTAATGACAAATTTTGACAAGAAGATAATACTATTATCGAATTTCTTTCTGTCATATGATCGAGAAAACATATCCGAAAGAAGATCAACAAACAGAACAAAACCGGTATTACATATCTTGTCGACAACATCACAATCATTTCGAATCGTCATCTTCGCTTGTTTCTGTTTCATTTTCCTTCTCTTCCATGGCGAGCTTTTTCTTCCGAATCAGCGCATTCTTGGCATCTTTCTTTTTCTTCTTCAAAAGAAAGTAATTGCAATGTCCATCAGTCACGGACACTTCCTTTATTTTTCGCCTTACCAATGTTCTCTTTCCGGGCCTCTCAATCACGTCCACTTGATTTCTTTTTTCATGTTCCTCATCGCTCGTATCTTCACTTGTCTCTTTTTGCTTTCTCTTTCTTGTGACTTTCTTTGATTTTTTTATTGGTCGTTCCTCCTCTGATGAACTCTCATCACTGGAGGAACTTGATATTCCAGATGTTCTTTTCACTGGCTTCCTCCCTCTCTTCCGTGTCGCTCTTTTTTTAATCGGCTTTTTCCGATCTTCCTCCGATGAGCTTGTCGACGACTCGGAAGAGCTATCGGACGAGTAAGATGACGAATCACTTGACGACGATGAAGAACTACTACTTTTGTTTTTCTTTGACTTCCGAGAGACCCTTTTCGTCGTCTTCTTTGTGCGCCTCTTAGTCACTTTCTTCTTTCTCTTTGGAGAGATTGACGAAGACGACTCCGAGGACGGTTCATAGGACTCTTCACTAGAAGACGACTCCTCCTCTTCTTTCATCTTCTTCTTTTTAATGGATTTACTGTCGGACGATTCTTCTTCAACTTCTTTGATTGGACGACTCTTTTTACAACGCCCTTCACTTTCATTGCGACGTTTAATTTCCATGACGATGGGGTCGATCTCTTCATCGGGATCCGTTTTGCCTCTCTTCATGATTTTGTTTGTCGAATTTGAATTTTTCAGGGGAGTCTTCTCTTTTGTTTCTGAATCATCAAGAAGTGTGGAGAATGGGTCCATTTCGATATTTGGAGTTAGTAACGCGTCTACCCTTGTCTTTACGTCGTCGGGAGTATTGGAATCAGTGGGAAGGACAGAACCTCGTTTCATAAAGACCTTCACTTCGGTGTTCAACTTGTCGACGATTTCTTTGATGTATTGGTCACGAGAGTCTTTCTGTCATTTCAATTGTTTTACGACCCGTTTTGCGCATTCTAAAAATCGCAGTGGAAGTCCAACGACAAGATTCGAACAAACTGGAGAGGAACGTGAAATTGAAGTAATCTTCGAAGACTGTACCTTTTTGAGAAATCTGGAAAGCGGTTATGATATATTTGATCTGTGCGTTTTGGAATTTCGAGAGTGCTTCTTCTGTTATAAATTGTTGGACGTCGGAAGAGTCGATCAAAAGTTTATCTTTTATCGAATCAAGACAAGATTGGGGAATTAATTCATACGCTTTTTTACATTGAATCATGAACTATTAAACTTTTAGTTCAGAGATAGTTTAACCCTTTAAATGGGATGTTTTTCTCTTTTTGCCTTTTCTCAAGATGATGACGTCATTGTTTTATATTTAATTTTGAGAGAGACTGATATTAATAGACAATAGTAAAATGAACTATTGTATTATTTTTTGAAAAAGAACCTGCAAAAACAAATATCTTAGCGAAAATGAATAAGAAGTGATCAGAAACATCCTTAAGATTTAAAGCAAGTGGATATTTTCGAGGTCTGTTGCGCTGTTTCTTTTCTTCTCGAAATTTTTGACGATGGTTTGCCACTGATGTAAAAATCCGAACAAATAACTGAAGTAGATGACTGTAACCAAACAGCACCAAGCGTCTGTAGATGCCAAAAACAATGTTTTAATCACTGAAATAGGTGTGGGTAACACTCTTTGGAACATCAAAGTGAATGGGGTTTGCATCTCTGTGAGTCCCAAAACAATATAAAACAAACTATTGAGCAACGCGTTCTTTGCGATCTCTTGTGTCTCTCCGTCTCGTAGAGTCCAAAACGTTATAAACGATATAAGTCCAGTGTACTGCATCGACTTGTGAACAAACATTGCACATGACACACCAATGATCAAAAAACACATAATAAATTCGGGAACTATACACACTCCCCATCGAATACCATTCGTCGTCGGAACACATGTAGCAAATTCAAGAGCACATGGCTTCATATAGACCGGAATGGAAATACAGAAACAGAACGTCCAGATGACAACATGGGTTACAAGACTACGCTTAACACTTTTGACTACCAACTCCATTTGTGCAAGCAGAAATTCGACGGCGGTAGTCAGTAACCATAATAACTGCGCCTGTCTGTCAGTGTGTACATCCGTATAGATAATTCAATGGTTAATTATAGTTAAATCAACCAAACTATATGTATAGGTAAATTATAGTAACAAACGTATTGGACAAAGTTGATAAAGGCGGCTTCAAAGTTGCACACATTTTGGTTTTCTTGAGCAAGATATATAGTGGAAAAAATCACTTGTAAACAGCTGAATATGTTTAAAAGCATTACAACAACTACATACCCTTTCATATTCGACTTGGTCTCGATTTTGAAATAAAACATCGAGAAGACTCCAAACACGCCAACTTGATGTCACTCTTTATTTCTTTTACATTACTATATTATTAATTATTTACCATATCAAAAGTAACTAACTTGTCACTACGGAAAGGTCAAGTATAAACTTTGTAACTAAAACACCTATGCTTATCCCACTCACCATTATAATATCTCCCTTGTAAGTTTTTTTATAAGTTCTTTATAGTTCTTTGCTGTATAGTTCTACTTAAGGAAAATATACCAATATTTAACTTAACTCATTATCAACCATGGAAAACCAAACAAAAACTATATTTATAGAATTTGTCTTGACACCCCCAGAGTTTACAAAAAAGGCATCTGGACTGTCTGACAGCACCTGACATATCCCTCCATATTCCACTCCTCGAAATTACCCAAGGAACATACTTTGGGTACTTGAAATTTGAATGTGTATTTACAATTATCCTCTTCCATCCCAGCAAAGACAAAGCGAGGGATTTGGTCAGGCATGCAGATGTAGTTGACAACAAAACTCCGTTGACCTTTGCCGAGACACAAATTGCCGTCGACGTATTCTTCACGAACAGAGTTTTTACTAATTTTAACAGAAGACACCCGACGACCTAAGACTATTTCACTGATCTTCTGCCCATTGACTATCCGTTGTTGTGTCAAATTGTATCCCGGACAGAAGATGTAATTGTAATATCCGTTGTTGTAAGCCAAACAAGACGATTCCTTTTGTAATTTGTGAAACTCTTCGACGCTCGAATTCACATTTTGTTTGCGAGGAATTGAACACTTATATATTTTGCCATTCATATCAAACGTTTTGACAATACCAGTGGGTAACTATTCGTTACTAATAAAATTATTATACTGCTATTCAATTGATTCATATTCTTCTGATTCATAGAAAAGAAGAACAAACGTTATAACAACGGTCTAAAAGTTCAATGTCCAACTGTAACATTGGAAACTGCCCCCGAGAAGAACAAATCAAGAGAAGGAAAAGTTGAAGAATATAGCCCATCCGTTCTATGTCTTGTTTAACATTTTGAGTTCTCATGTATTATTTGTGTTCCAAAAGAATAACAAAAATAGCAGAAAAAAACGTGATTAAGGTTTAGTCTATATTTTTCATAATCTCAACATAACTGTCATTGATGCATTTCTCAACGCGCTTTTCTTCCTCTCCCCAGATGTTTTGCTTGAAATTGATATTCCTGAGACTTCCCGCATCAAACAAATCTTTATGAGTAATGGAGATATCAACACATAAAGCCGCCAATTCCAGCAAGTTATAGTCCAAGTTTGGTCTTCTTTGCGATGTGATGATTGTTGTGAACAGATCCACAAAGAATTTAAGCTCGAAATTGTCAGTTCCGTATTTCTTTAACACTCGATGTAACATCGAAATCGAGTCTTTCAAACGATAACAAGGATCTCCTTTATATTCGTAGAGAAAAGAAACGCCCAATTTCTCTTTGACCAATCTCGGGATGATGATCTCATTCCATACATTCTTCACATAATCACCAAGAAGGTGTTCATACAATTCGTTGATTTCCCTTTTAAGTTCTTCATTGAAATATAACACACATCGGTAGGCTTCGTCGGGGTTTCGTTGAATATATGTTAACAATTCTTTTTGAGCTATTTGAGTCACAAACGGATTCTTCTCAATCATTCCTTTCACTATGCGGACATAACAGATGTTCTCGGTCGGATAGTGATACCCATGCATCTCTCCAATCATCGTTTGCAGGAACAAAGTCGCTTTTTCCTCCTCTTCGGAAGTTATCACAATGGTCTGACTTAAAAGGACAAACGCACGCGAAACCACATCTGGTAACCCCTCCTTGCTGTTCTCAAGTATTTGCGTCGTTCGAACAATATAACTCAAAATGTCAATCTTCGTGATTTCTTTCAAAAATCTGAGTAATATTTCAACCACTTCTACTTTGTTGACGACGTTTTTCGACTTTTCAACCCATCTCACTGTTGACTTCAAAAACTCAACATCTCTCGATCTGGCTTTGGACGATTCGTCGAGATTGGAATAGTTCGACGCAAGAGCAGTGAAAAATGCAAAATAAAGATCACTCATGTCGGGGACAAATTTGAGGACTTTTTCACTGCAACTAAGAGCATTATAACAGCTAATATACCCAACACCAGTAATAAGTTTCTCTTGGAAGATCCGTCCGACGCGAATATTTTCACAAAGCTTTCGAAGAAATAAACAAAACCGCCAAAAGGAATCCCCCGTCTTTTTGACAGAAGCGAAAAACTTTATCAACTTTTCGGCGTACTGAATGACCAGCTCTTTGTCTCCCATGCCAAAAATCTGAGAGAAGAAATGTAATGTGTTGATCGTGGCTCTTGAACTGATGACGTATTCCCGAGTCTTTTTCAGAAGTTCATTTTCTTTCTGCTCGACCTCAGACTTAAGTATTGTGTTAACAATGTCTGGGTACTTTTCGACCATTTTCAGTAACTCAATTTGGAACATTTCTTGACGTGGGTATTGCATTAAAAGCGTTGCGTGAGTTAATTCATAATGGACACAAATTTCTATCAAGTCGCGAATCGTTTGTTCACTAACTCCATTTTGGATCTCTATTTCCATTTTATTGCATTGTGTAGGGACTTGGGCTGTGGTCGTGAACTCAAAATTGGGTTCATTGTTGCAGAAACGCATCTGCTGGATTAAATAGTCAGACATGTTACAATTGGCCAAAATGACCGAATTGCTCATCATAGAAAGGTTGTCTTGAATAACTTTATTCTTCAACTCGATTGGGTACACGACATCGACTTTCTCGACAATGGGAATCACTTTTTGGTAAAACAAAATGTACGCAGAGAATCTCTTTGTTGCATCGCCACCATACGTTTGCTCTTCGAGCTTGCTTAAGTCGAACTTTTCAATGAGATCATCATTGAAAACAAACCACTCGTCTCCAGTTTCTTGATCTTTGATATAAGAGTAGTAATGGCCACTATCCAATGACCCCAAATGTATCAAAACACCAACCAACTTGAACTGGAAATCACCCTTGTTTTCAATTGTTGGGTCTTTTAAAAATTCGGCAGAGTATTTGAACAAATCGAGTTCTCGAGGGAATTCATACCGGTTGTTCAATTTAATTCGATCCATTGTTTCGTAGTCAAATTCAAACCGTTTGATATGGAGGATCAAAGTGTTTGGCGGGGTTTTGATGCACGAACGACGAACAGCATCGACCTTTTTATTACATTTTTCACAGAAATACTTGTTGTCACCCGAAAGCTCGTCGCCTTTAATCATCGACGCAAAACTTTCGTCCAAACTTGTTTTGTTTGGTTCGCCAAAAGTAATAATGGACATTTGGAGGCAAATGGTTTTTTCTTCAGTCTCGGAGACATGTTCGCATTCTTTAGACACTATTTGGTTCGACAAGGTCCCAGAGAAACATTCTTCGATTATATTTTTCTGGCCGTCGATTTGTTTCAGTTCCTTTTCAATTTCATCCAACGTCGATGTCAAGAATTCGTGTGTGTCCATTTGGATGTATGGATTCAATTCTTTGCCGTCGTCACCCTTTAGGTGCGAAATGAAGTCTTTGGTGTCAACGTACCGAACAACAGTTTCATGAAGCTCGGTGAACAGTTTCTGGAAGGCATTGATGTTCACGGAATTTTCATTACCTTTGACATTCAACAATTTGTTTCTAAAGTAGGGATTCATGTATAGCTGCTGAACCAACGAGTTAATGTAGCACGTGCATCCTTGGTTCTCCAAACCAACAAACGGGAATTTTTTAAATGTCGCATCAGTGACTCTGGCCATTTGAATCGGTTTAATATTGTTGACACAATTGTCAGTGAGTTCTTTGTTGAATCCTCCAATAACAAAATACTTCTCGAGTAACTTCAAAAGTTCAATACGCGTGTTTTCATTCTGTATAATTGGGAGCTTCATGTTTTCGAGGTTAGGTGGAGTAAAAAGTGCATCAGAAATTTGCTGAGCGAACTCCACATCAACTGTGTTGACATTTTCTCTGTAAAATTCAATGAGCTTTGGAGACAAAAAATCGGTTCCCATTTTTTTCAAAATAAGCGCTCGTGCGCTTTTTGTGTATTCTTCAGTCTTTGTCAAGTTGTTTTTTGGAAGGGCACACACGTAGCAGAGCACATTCGGGTTGTTGATGTTCTGGATAAAAACATCTTCAATCGCTGTTGTTGCGTTTGTTATTCCCAGTCCGAACAGCTCGGTAAACGTTTCTTTAAACATGTCCCGAAGATATTGAGAAACAGCGCGTGTCATTAAAAACGCGACTTCTTTTGTGGCTGGAATATTTGCGTTTGCGTATTTAACAAACAAGTCAGTGACTGCATTGGTTGTATCCAAATAGTCGGGATCGGGAGTTTTTGTGTGTGTTTTTTTAAATATAAAATTTATCACCTTTTTAACGATGTTCTCCATTTCTTCATCAACGGAGCACTCTGGGTGGTCAAGAAGGTATGTCAAAAGTTTAAGAACAAAATTTGTGTCGTCCTTGTCTTCAATGTTTAGAGGTTCATTAAGCCATTCTGAAATTTCAGTGGCTTTCACGTTCAATGAAGAAAGAGAAGTGAGATGTGGAAGGTGGTTTGAAACTGGTTCGGTGGGTGTTGAATCAGTGGGAACTGAAGGTGCAGATTCCATGATGAATTTGAAGTTCATATTCCACTTTTTTTTTAAACCTCAAATTGTTTTCAGATCTTTAAGGTTGTTTAATGGTAAAAAACGGGCTATTTGTTTATTTTTTTAATAGTAATTTAATAACCATTTTATATTATTTTTTTAATTATTTATACTTTTTAGTAATTATTAGTTAAAATATAAGAAAAATTATTAATACTTTTTTATTATATTTTAAAACTTTTTTCAAACTCCAATTCAAATGAAAATAAATGTTTATGGCTGTTCGGCGACTTTGATATTACTGAGAAGTCGGCGACTTTTTGAGTTACTTCAAAAGTCGCCGACTTCTTTTAGAACCTATTAACTATAAACTTTAATAAATTATACCATATTCATTATAGTTTCAAAAATGTGTAAAAACACAATAGTTGTTATAATTTGTTATATTATAATCATATAAATATAATTTAAAAAATGATTTGAGAAGATATAATTGGGACGGTATTGTTTCATTTTACTTTTTAATAATAATTATATTAAATTTATATGGTTTATTTTTTTCAATGTCTTTTACATGATAAATGGTATTTTATATAGTTATTTAACTAAATATTTAGGTCAGCGACTTTTAGGACAACTAAAAAGTCGGCGATTTTCAAAGGGACTGTGAAGTCTCCTAACAGCTATTAATTTAAATTTAAAATTTAACTTTAAACAGTTTAAAGTTTTATTTTAATTATATGATATTACTATATTTTAAAATAATAATTGTTATAGTCAATAGTTGTGTTGTTTTTGTCTTTAATTATTTAGATCAGGTTCTGAAACTATTACATGTGTAATATGTACATACATAATTTCTATTGTTTTTGAGTTTAATTTTTAAAACTTCAACAATTATTTTTTTTTTGTTTTTTTCTAATTGGAATTTAAATAAAAATTAATAAATTTTTATTTTGTGTTTTTTAATTTATATCGTTTTTGTTTAATTTGTAAAATTATGTTGTCAGTTTTTAATGATAAATATTCAAGTTATTTATCAAAAATAATTGGTTTATTAATTACTATGAATATTTAGTATTTTATAGTTATTAATTAGAACTAAATCATTATAATGTCAAAAAAAAACTAACCAAACAAGTTTTATTTATAGAACCATTATATAATAATTAATTAATTTGAATATATAATTCATCATTTCTGTTTTTTTGTTATTAAAACTATTATAATATAACTTTTTACTATTTATTCAAACATTTAAAAAAATGGATTTAAAAAGAAAGATGATTTAAAAACTATGTAAAAAAGAATAAAAAAAATAAAAAAAATTACCGCTCTTTACCAGTTTTTTTTTATCTTTTTATATCCCATTTTTTATTCATTTTTTTACTTTTTTTGTGTATATTTTGATTATCTTATTATATAATTGTATTTTTTTACCAACAATTCCCATTTGCAAAAAAAGTACAATAGTGAAGTATTTCTTATCTCGCCTTTTACCGCCATTATCAAACAACATAATTTTTATTCAAATGGTGTTGAAAATCCCGTTCTTTAATATATAAAAGAGCCAAATTGTATTTTAAATTCCCTCAACAAAGTTATTACAATGGATCAGAAATTTCTTTACAACAAAGACCCGCCAAATTTATAAAAAAAGGCCTTTTATTCGTCTAAAATTTCTTTTATACAACAATGCCGATAATCCCGACTTTTATACAGATTTGTGCAGTATATATCAATGACAAACAAACGGTTTGGAATTTGAAAAGTCGTTATTTTTGTGCTAAACTTTATATTAGAGAACCCTCTAAAACTATAAAACCAAACAAAATGAGTATTTTAAATGCGTTGAAAAGTTTCAAGGAGACAAAAGAACAGAAGTTGATAAACAAAGCAATCCGTTCCAAAGACGAAGCTCCACCAGAAACAATCATTCAAGATCTTATCAAGTTAATGTCCGACCCAATGTCAAAGCATGTTATTGTCCAAACTTTGATTCGTGCATTTGAAAAGTCCAACGATGAAAAGAAGTTTATTCGACTTCTTTGTGTGTTATACAGACTAATGGACATCGACCAAGAGTATTTCATTCTCGCTCATTTCTCCACCTCTCGCCAAAACATATTAAAAGGTCTCCCAAAAGTTCACTCAAAAACAACAGCGGTGTTTGCCTCTCACATGTCGACTAAAATATTGTTATACAACACATACAAAATTTTGTTATCTGCCGAGAACGACGTCCCTGATTTGAACCAACCAGAAAACGTTGACTTAGCTTTCACCATCACAGAAATTCTGATCGAGTTAGCCAAAAATCTGACAGAAGCAGACTTTTCACAGGCGGGTATTTACTTCCACGTCGCTGACATTCTGTTACTCGAACTGACTGTAGCCTTTTACAAAATCAATTTTTATTCCTCCGCACTTGCCAACTCAATTCTCGACTTCAAAGTCAACCACATCGAGCGTTTTATTGAAATCTGCAAAAACATTGACCGTGTTAGACACAAGTACTTCACTATCCTTTCGAGTAAATACATCAAAGAGAAATTCACGACTATTCCTCGTCTCGCCTTCATGCCGACAGGTCCTCTCCAGAAGTTTTTAACAAAATATTCCAACAACCTCCGGATTGGTGCCGTCGACAAAGAATTGAACGAAGAGATTTTGAAATTCAACACAACGTTCCAAGGCGATATTGTCTCGAATGATCAAAAGATTCGCTTGTTCATTAATCGACCACTCATCTCAATAAATCAGAACGAAGACTCAAATGACTCGTTGTCAAGGTCCGTCTCAAGATCGGCGTCAAGGTCAAGCTCCGCTATGCTCGCGGGAAGCTTCGACAATTCAAAGTTGATGAGACCAGCACAATCGCCACATATTGTGAATACCTCGTTCGTTGCGGGAAAGCCAGAGGAACAACGAAAACAAGCAAATGTACTTAAACCAATCGCAACTCGTGCGACAGCAAAGAAGGAAGCATTCGAGAGGTCAGCGACATCGGCGGTATTACTCAACCAACAAAACCTCTTCGACGACGAGGACGATGAGACAAGCTTCTTGATTTAATTGTTTAACTGTTTTTTAAGTTCAAACGAGTTTGACAATTGAAGAGTTTTTAGTGTATTATAACTTTAATATTGTTCGTTAATGGATATAGTACAGGTTTTGAGATTCTAAAAAGAATGAATTGAGCGATGGAATGGTGTAATGTGATTGCGTGTGGTGGAAGGAAAATAAATTTGGGGAAAGAAAAAATAAAAATTAAACGAGTGAACCACCATTCATCTTCACTTGCTGCGCTTTGATTGCTTTGTCCTCACGAGCTTTTTGCATCTTCTGTACAGATTCGGTGGCTTCTTTTATAAGCTTGTCCATATCCTCTTTGAACTTCTCGTTTCGTTTCGCTTGAGCTAAAAACGCATCACCTTGAGGCCTGTAATTGTTTGTGTCTTCCTATGTGTCACTCTTCAACCAATTTAAAACCAATCCACAAACTTTAAAAACATCAATCGGAATCTGGGTGATATACCCTAATACACAAAACGCTAACAACAAAAAAAGCAACGATTTCATCACTGTTTGAAAAAATACAATTCGAGTTTTTTCTTTTGATTTTTTCTATTTATTTTGTTTTTTTGGAATTAATAATTATTATCAAAATTAATTAATAATTTTGATAATAAAATTTTATTTATTCATTCATTACTATTTCAAATTTTTAGCAAGTTTTATATTAGAAATAAAATTTCAAAACAAGTGAATTTTTATTTGATATTAATAACTCGCTCTAATATTTATATATAGTTTTTGATGGTATAATAACTAGTTTAAAAGAAGAAATAAGAAATATATAACAATTATACTAAATATAAATTATAATAGTAAAATAATAGTTTCTTTTAGAAATGCAAAGAAATGAATAACAAAAAACAAATAAAATGTTATTCAAAGTCATCTGAAAAAAAATGAACTGAATTACCTTTGAAAACCAATGGCAACTGGGTTCAGCAACACAACGATCCTAGTTATAGTATTGTCCTCGATTACTGCTGTTTGTGTTGCTGGTCAGTATACGTAGCAAGATGGATATCATTATAATAACATTTTTAATAACAAAAATTGAGTAACCAGTAGACGGTTGGTATTTTTATGGTTGGCCACGGTTGCCTTTGTTTTTACAATCAGCTCACAACAACACATCCAATAGGAGATTACAGCGTGACTGGGTTATCGCTTATTTGTGGATTGGTGTTGGTCTTCATTGCTTTTTTGGTGTTTTATTTATATCAAATACACGTGGCGTCCTCCTTCATCATCGCTTTTCTGATTCTTTTCATCGCAACAATTTTTATGGCTTCTGTGACATTAGTTTCATTCATGGATGCCTACTCTGTTAAAGCGTTAGTTAAGGAGAGCACATCGAAGATGATGTCGTTGGAATACGAAGTTTGTTTCTGAGCATTTTGTTACTATTTATATATAGTATAATAACTATATATCAACTATACACAAATACTCAAATGTAGTTTGAGTGCTGCGGGTACAAAACACAACGGGAGTACTGCCAGAAGCTGAAACGGCCGACGTGTTACTCGCGAATAGTTAACCCTTTCATGACGTTCAGAATGTTTTGTATGTGTGCGACATTTGTATTGTTTGTCCAGAGCTTAACGTTTGGGATATTCCTATGTCTTTGGTTCGACGGGATCGATAAACAAGGAAAGGATATGCTAACTTTTCACATCTCTCGATTGGATTAATACTGTTACTTGTCTTACGACACCTGTTTCTTGATTCTATTTCTTTTAATTCTTTTTATTAGTGATTTTATCATCAACAGTGTTTCACTTAATAGTAAAACAACTATAATATAATGCTATCAATGAAATATGAAAACTCTGAAAAGAGATGGAGGTGGAACAGCCCAATGCTGTGGAATTAGTCAAACAACGCGACGAACTGAAGCGAACACTCGAAGAGAAAAAAAAGAAACTGTCGCGGATCGTCGAGATGCTGGAGGACCTTCAGATTGATTACTGCACAATCGCAACAAACGATGTTTCCGCGGTCGACAACAATAATTAAATGACTGTTTTTTCTGACGTTTTGATACTTTGAAAAATCAAAGGATCTCAAAAATAATTCTGATGTCGACAAACAACCATGTTTGTCCCGAGTGTGGTGGTCGCGTTGTTGAAGGAGGTGTATGCGAGAATTGTGGATTAATCTGTCTTCCGTCAAATAACTACGTTAATGACATTCCAGACACAACAATTCGTTTGTCTTCTTGTATTGTCTTTAACACAGTAACCGTAAGCGTTTAACCCTCGAAAATTGCAGATTATCACCACTCCGACCGAACGCAAAATCGAGCGATTGATCATTACAATAGACAAAGTACTCCAAGAGACGCGCGTCGGTTTAGTTCGTGAAAATGTTGTTGAGTATTTGCGGCGTTTGGGCACACTGAACATGTTGCATTCCGGTCGTTCAGGCGATGTCATAGTTGCGGCTGTAATCTTTTTATTAAGTCGGAAACGCGATGTGGAGTACCCGACATCCATTGACGAAGTCGCTCGTTCAGTTCGCACGACTCCATATGCGGTCCTTTCCACCGTCGTGACAATAAAAAACAAAGACCACGACTACATGGGCAATGTGAACATCGCGACAGACCCGTTCTATCACCTCTCCCGCTTTCTTCGTAAAATGAAGCTGACTGTCACAAACGAGCAAAAAGCTGAGATCGAGCGGACGGTTCAGGCGATTGTGAAAGTTGTGTATAAGTACGACAGTCAATGTGGTCGTCGTATAGTTCCTGTCGTTGCCGCCCTTTTTGTGATGTCGTGTGAGTGTTATGATGTGCAATATGACCGAAAAGAGTTGAGTCGGATGTCAGGGGTTACGTGGCAGACAATCGAAGAGCGTATAAAAGACTTCAAGACACAACTGGTTGGGTTGTGTAAGAGGATGAGTGGCGGGGAGCAGATTAGCGAGAAGAATGTTAGTTGGTACCTTGGGTACATTGTGGACGTGTGTATTCCATTTCTATCGATGTGTTCCATCGCGCCACTGCTTGAACATCCTAAAATTATAAGATTGCGAGATCTGAGAAGCAAGAGAGAGAAACAGATTGAAAGTGTCAGAACGATGGAAGGAGATTTGGAAAGTGAGCAACTGAGAACAATCAGGAGAATGGTGCGTGACGGAATGGACGAAGGTGTTATCACGGGGTGTAAGTCGGCAATAGAACTCAAAAGAAAACAAATGGAGTTTGAAGTGCGAAAAGCTAATCAAATTGCTGTCAAAAACCAATCAAAAACTATTAATGATGAAATCAAAACGGAAGAAGAAGAGAGTGACGGCAGTGAAATTAAGATTGAGAAAAAGGATGAAATGAGTGAGGATGACGAAATGAAAATGAAAGAAGAGAGTGAATTTTGAGTGATTGAGATTTTTTTATTTTATATTTAAGAGATCTTGAAAAAGGCATGTCATACACACTTGTCCACTTACACAACGCTTGGCAAGTCGACCAAGCAATTATAGCGGAGGAGGAGCGTGTTGTTATTGTTAGGTTTGGAAGAGATTGGGATGCCGAGTGTATGCAAATGGACGATCACTTGGCTTCGATTGCCCAACAAGTCCAGCGGATGGCTATTATATATGTCGTTTGTGATTATATTAAATCAGTCTCCATTCAATATACAAAGCGATTCGTTAATCAATGTATTAAAACTAATACACCAATTCAAAAAGAAGTAATTAACGATATAGGTAGACATCGACGAAACACCTGATTTTAACGTGATGTACGAATTGTACGATCCCGTAACAGTCATGTTCTTTTTTAGAAAGAAGCATATCCAAGTTGACCTTGGTACCGGTAACAACAACAAAATCAACTTTGTGATCAACAGCAAGGTGGATTTGATTGCTATAATCGAAAAGGTGTATACAGGCGCGAGAAGAGGGAGAGGTATAGTAGTAGCTCCCAAGGATTATTCGACGCGCTATAATTATTGATTGGCTTGATTTTTCAATGTATTTTGTGTTTATTTTGGCAATGATTTTTTGCTTAGAGCACAAATTTGTACAACTTAGTGTTTTTACCACATAGCTTCAACAAAAAAACAATCCCGTTGATGTAGAGGCGCTTTTGGATTGTTTTAACCATCATGAATAATGCCAAAACACACTTTTTTTCTTTTTTCTGTATTTTTGGAAGAAAAGAAAACAAAATATAGTATAAAATATAATATTTAAACTAGAATAACAATGGTTTCAATTGAAACAACGAAAAATTCGAGAGCCCGTTATTGATTAGGATATCCTTGGGTTATATCTCTTGACACATCAAGGAGTATGAAAACAAGAATTGTTATCATTGTTTGAATCTTTTGGAACTTAACTGTACAAACTAGTGAGTGTCAATGCAACAATGGAACAACGATGCGCTCAACAAAAATCGCGAGATTAAACAAAAGGAATTGGACAAAATAGAAGGGTTTTGGAGAGAAACACAATCATTGATTGATGGCATATCCATTTCCTTCCGATCAATAGGCGAATGTTTTTCTAGGTATGGAAGTCGGCTTGAAAGTATAGTCTCAGAAGACGCTACGATGTGGATATGTTTGTTTTTAACATCATTTTAATGCATTTATAAAGGAAAGAAGGTCTTACTTATACCATCGAAACCAATTTGATTCGAATAGTTTAAAATTATAGTTTCAAATAGTACATTATAATAATTAGTATTGAGTGAACGTTTTCTGTTTAAAATGAGTTCAATAACTTCGCAAATACGTG